CTACAAACTGCACCCGCACCGGGCAACGCATCTTTAAGCACTGTCACTGATCCGGTTGCATTGTTTGCCCGCCCTGCCATCCTCTGCCTTGACCGACGCCGCTCTCCATCTTCCCTGGCCGGGCATCGCTTACTGCCCGTTTCCTGATATCGCCGGAGCACCCAAGCGGTCGGTTTGCACATCCAGTATCCAGCACCAACTCTCGACACGGCTTCTGCACCCGTGGTGGTCCCTCATTCTCACTTCGAGGACTGATGGCATATTACCACTCGAGCGGTTCATCCGCCGCCTCGGGCTTCGAGTATACACAGGTAGGCCACTCTTACGCCAATGGTCAGAGTGATTCTCAGCTCAACGACCCTCCCTTCCAGCCGTTCCAGGAGTCCCAATTCGACATCTTCGAGTGGTATCCACAGTTTCAGTCGTGCCTGCGCTACTTCCTGGACCATGCCCAATACAACGGGCCTATCCAGGCCGTGGCCGCCTTTGTCAACATTCAGTTGCCGTTCCAAAAGACCTACAACCCGGTTCTGTCTTCGAAACACACCGGCCCCAACTCGCCTGCTGGCCCTGGTCCCGGACCCTCAACGCCGTCAACAACTCGAGCAACCGGCAAGATGCCACTCGGTGCTCAGGTGCCACTCGGTGCTCAGATGCCACTCGGAGCTCAGTTGCCGACCTCGACCCACACGGCCTTGACGCCTTACATCCGACGTCTGGTGGCCACCGGGTTTGACTATCCCGCTGTGCTACACGGCTTCTTCGGCGACGACTGGGTGGGTGGCATCGGCCCCATGCACGAGGCAGAGCGCCGCAACTATATGTTTGCGGCCAAAAGCGAAACCTGGCTAAAGGTTAAGTCCCATTACGACATGGACGGCGAGCAACATGTTCCCTTCCTCCGGCCTCTTTCGAATGTCACTGAGAAGGAGATCCAGAGCGCCGAGGCCCAGTGGAGTGAGTGGCTCGCAATGCAGGATTGGATGGTGGGACCGCGGGCACCGGAGCAGGAACCGAAGATCAAGCAGGAGGACAACTAAACCGATGGCCGACGGACATTGCACTACTCACACGACACCCAGGACGGTATACTCACGCCGCGGAAAGGGGAGGCGCATTTTGCATTTTAGGGATCGGCAGGACAGCATTGGCGTTTTCGGTTCAAGAAACGGCGGTGTACCAAGGGGGGGGGGGGCGGAGCGGCTGTACGATGTTTAGACGCGGCGAAGGCGGTGAAGAGGGGAACCGCCGACGGCAGCACATGGTTTCTGTGGAAAGAGGGGACGAAGCGCGGAAGGTCTTTGTTTGTTCCGGCGTGTCACGCCTAGGTCATGTCGTCGGACAAAATGCTACTGTACGATACGGCCCGCGGTGATCGGCACCGGACCCGGCACCTTTTTCTTCTGTTCTACGGCGGCGGCGGCATTTATCATGATTTCCTTCCTAGGTTGTTGGATAAAAAGAAGCTCTCTTGGGCGGCTGGGACGAGTTGCGTTTGTCCCAGGCACATACACAGACAGTCTGATTAGACTTGTAAAAGGCATAAAACACGATGATGCACATAAAAAGGACCGTTTCGACATCAATGCGCCTTTTCTCTGTTCCTGGCCATGCTCTATTTTGATTACCGTACCTCTAGCATCACCTTCCTCGCCGTCTCGGACTGGGGGTATGATTGACACCTCTGCTCCTGCGCCGCCAACGTCTACTTCCTCTTCTTGGCCAGCCTCTTCTGCGCCCTCAGGTCCTTCTTCATCCTCGAGTCCACAATCGTGTAGCGGCCCTTGACGCCCTTGGGGCGGCCCTGGATACCGCGGTTGGAACCTGCGGCGGGTTAGCGTGACGGGCCTCGCCGACGACGACGACGCGTCTCGGGCCGGGTTCGGGGACTCACCTCTGGCGACGACCAGCGTGGGCTTCGGCCGCCTCTTGACCTTGCCGGCCTTGGCCATCATCTTGGCGATGCTGTCGGCCTTCTCCTTCTCCGTCATGCTCTCCTCGTTGGCGAGCATGTCCGACTTCTTCTTGAGCTTCTCGAGGCGCTGCGCCGCCTTGAACTTCTTGCGCGCCTTGGCCTCGCGCACCTTCTTGATCGGCCGCGCGTTGTAGGCCCGCAGCTTTTCGCGGATCGCCGCCGCCGCCGCCTTGGTGATGGGCTTCTGCGGCTTGTCGTGCTTGGTCTCGTCGTCGATGAACCAGTCGGGCAGCCCGTCGCGGTCCTTGAGGGCGTACTTGTTGAAACCTTCGTCCACGAGGTCGTGCTTGGTCTTCTCGCCCGTTGCGAGCTGGTGCGCGAGCGTCATGGCCTCGGCGGTGATGATGTCGATGTCTAGCGGGGGAGTGTTAGTATGTGCGCCGCGGGTCGGTTGATCTCGAGGGATCGGCAAAGGAGGAAGGGGGGGGGGGGGGGGGGGGGGGGGGGGGGTGCATTACCGAGCCTGCCATCCGGACGACGCTTCTCCTGGTTCTCCCAGTCCTCCTCTTGGTTCTTGACGACCTCGAAGCCGGCGTCGTCTCCGCTCTCCGATTCTGAGTCGAACCCGTCGGCGACCTTCTTCTTGCTCTCCTCCTTGGCCTTCTTCTTGTCTTCCTTGGCCTTCGTCTTATCGTCCTTGACCTTCTTGGCCTCGGTCTCCTTTACGGTCTTGGCCTTCTTCCGGCTCGGCTCCTCTCCCTGAGGCTTGTCGTCGACACCCCACGCCTCGTCATCGACGTCGCCAATGTCAATGTCCTTGAAAATGTCCTGGCTGAAGAATGCCGTTGCGCGCTTGGACAGGTTGCCGTTCTCTGCCGTGTTGTCCAGGTCCGTAACGAGAGGCCGCCCGTTGTCCTCCTCTTCATCGTCATTGTCGTCGTTCGAGCTGTCAGAGTCCATCTCCATGTCCTCGTCGCTGTCGCTCTGCTCGCCGCCCGAGACGCCCTCCCACTCGCCGTCCTCGTGCTCCTCGCGGGCCCGCTTGGCGCGCCACTTTGCGTCGGCCGCCGCCTTGCGCTCGCGGAACTGGTCGTACATGCCGTCGAGTTCGCGCTCGAGGCGGTCCTCCTCCGCGTCGCTATCCGAGTCAGAGTACACGATGCCGGCCTCTTCCGCCTTCTTCTCGCTCTCCTTTATGAGGACCATCTTGCCGCGGGCGATCTTGTTGATGCCGCCGGCCTTGTCGGCCGTCTTGAGGGCGAACATGGCGTCCGGGCCGAGGGGCCCGGCCTGCTCCATACCAATGTCCATGGGCGCAACCATGTTGAGCTGCATGCGCACAATGTCCTTTTGCTTCTTCTCGTTTTCTTTCCTCCTCTCCTTCTTCTTCTTGGAGTCTTCCTTGTTCTTGAGCGCCTCAAGCTCCTGCTGGATCCGCAGCTCCTCATCCATCGACTCGACCTCGGCGACCTCCTCGCCCACCTGGTCCTGCAGCGACTTCTTCTGCTGGGTCGTCTTCTTGGTCGGGAAGCCAAAGATCTCCCGCACCTTGAGACGCCATTTGAGCAGCTGCTTGAACTCTTTCCTTCCGAGCACCTTCAGGTCCGCGCAGTTCCTGCGGATGTCGTCCGTCGTCTCCGGCAGCTTGTCTAGTGCCGCGAGCGCCACATCGCCGTTGGGAGGCTGGTCGAACGATAGTTGGTTCGTCTGGCCGAGGATCGCAATGGGGTCGACCGAGTGGATGAATTCGCTGGCCGAGACGACCTTGAACTGGGTGTAGTCGCCCTCCTCGTAACCCTCACGCTTGCGCTTCTTCACCTCGGGGTTGTACACCTTGGCCTCGTTGTTCGGTGTCGGGTCCTTGAGTTCGGCAAAGACGGCGCGGGGGTCGAGGAAGCGGGGGTCGATGCGCTTCGGGGCCTTGTATCCTTTACAGACTACGAAGATCTCGGCCGACACGTTTCTCGATGATGGCGGCTTGGTCGCCTCAACCTTCGTGAAGAGCTGGTTGAACACCCACAGAAGCGGGTTGTAATCCTTGGACCGGAACACCTTTGTGACGAACGTGCCGCCCTCGACGAGGAACTCGGTGGCCAGCTTCATCGACTGCAGCACCAGCTCGGCCTGGTTGAAGGAGTCCTGGTTCCAGGCCGTACCGACGTTGGGCGCACCATCGTGGAGCACGCAGTCCGCCTTCCACGTCTTGAGGTGCGAGCGGATCGTCGCTCGGCATTTGTCGGTTGTGATATCGCTCTGGAAGGTGATGACCTTGGGGATGGGCTTGATGGGGGCGAGATCGACACCCACGATCAGGGCGCCGACCGGGCACGTTTCTGCTGCGACCTGACACCACGACTGTGAAATATTTAGATTGAATGTCTCGACGGCCGGCTCGATGAGAGTTAACAACTTACACCGGGGGCAGCGCAAAGATCGACTACGACCTTGCTCTTCTCCAAAAAGCCATACTTTTTGTTCAGCTGGATCAGCTTGAACGCGGCTCTGGCACGGTATCCCTTCTCCTTGGCAAGCTTGTACCACTTATCCAAGCGCCCTTTTCCGTGCTTCTTCTGGATCGCCATATTGTTGGTGGGCGGATCGAAGGATTGGTACACACGAGGTTTTGCGAGAGAGGGAAGCCTTTCTCGAGATTGTCGACCTTTCAGTATGCGCCCCGCCGCCGTCCCGACATTTCGTATCTGAATTTTTTAGTGGAGCACATTGCATATGATTGGGTCCAAGGGTCGCCTATGGGGAGGTCCCAGTGAATCAATTAAAGGTGGGTCTGTGCACCCCTTCCCGCGTTCTTTTTAACACGCGCCGCAGCGCGCGACAGCATCGCGTAAAGAGGTCGCCGGTACGCTCGCTACCTACTATGCAGACGTCAGACACACCCGGTCTTTCGAACCTCCACCCTTCCTCCAGCACACATAACCCACGGATAATTATCACCGCCTGCCAGGCGACCCCTTCGCTATTCAAGCTTTCTACCATTCAAAAAAGTGTATTCGTTGTTTGTTCAGTTATATAATCTCACTGAGTCTAAGTCGTCATCGTCATCGGCATCACCTCACTCAACCTCGTCATGGTTTACCACGGCGGCATGGCCAGCCCGCCACCGAGCGACGGCCTCGTGCCGGCCTCGTCTCCCACCCTCCCCTCCTCCCCGCCTTCACGCATCTCTCGCAAGGAAAAGAAGAAGGCTATCTTGACACCCCGGAAATTCCGCCGTTTCTTCACCCCGCGTGGGATGCCCTCCCATATCTCGCGAGAACGACCGGCCCTCGGCGAGCTTAGCAGCCCTACAATCAATGCCCAGCCGACACCCCCGCGGTCCAGCCCACAGTTTCCTGAACCGATATCTCCCGCCTCGAACAGTAGCAGCCTGGTTTCGCCGATTGTAAGCGACGATGGGCCGAGGAAGCGGAAGCGGAGCGTCGTGAACGCGATACCGATGAAGTTGCCACCATCGAGTCGGAGCTCGAATTCGAAGCGCTTGAGGACCCAGCCAGAGGATCTGGAGGAGGAAGATATACCTTTAGGTCGAAGCCCTCTGGCAAGGTCTCCTTCAGGCCAGAACGAGAATATCCCGCCTGAGGACCACTTCATGGCTTCGCCCGAAGCACACTCCCCTTCGAATCGTCATATGTCAGCCCTGGGAATGAAGTACTCGGCAGGCCTGCAGATATCGCCGGACGAATTTGCCAGGAAGCTCAGCTCTCTGACCGCCAGCAACTTTGCAAATACGGGGTACGAGGGTCTCCGACCTCGGTCTACTTTGGTGGGTTATGGAGAATCCTCGATATGTGACACTGCGTCTAACCTAAGTCAGATTGACTATTTCAAGTGCAATCGCGCAGGCGTTCCGTCTGCTGGCAGGGGAAAGGCTGCTGCTGCTGTTTCAAGGCTTTCTCGGCCACCAAAGGACGAAGCTGTGCGTACGCCCTTCCGCAATTTACGATCAGTCGGCTGACCAGCATTAGGTTGTACCCGAGTACCGGCCACAGCCCGTGATCAAGCTCCGTAATCGCGGCTTTGGCGCTCAACTGCTACTCCGCGAGCAAGGGAGCACTCCTCGGCCAGAGCGTGAGCGTCTCGAGTATCCCGCGTTTGGTAGGTCCCAGCCACGCTTGCAAGCGACTTGTAACTAACACTTTGTAGACTCGAGGGCTAGCACGGCTTCCTTCTGGAGCCGAAGCACTGACGTTCACATGTGTAATGCGCATTTGACTCAGGCGAATACCATTCCCTTTAGTCTTGCTAGTTGTCACAGTAGGTATCCTGATATTTAACATTTATGACCGTTACTAAGTTCTGTAGATGCACCGATGACGGTAATTGGCGACGAGGAGGGCTTCATCCGCTTCTTCGACACCACCACGACCCCCTTGGGAGCAACGCCGCGAACGAAGGTCGATATTGTCATCCAGGCCCATGAGAACGCCATCATGGACCTTGCCTTCTCCGACGACGATCTCCGCCTGGCAAGTGCCTGCGGCGACCGTTCGGGCAAAATCTTCGACGTCATGTCGCAGACCGTTGCTGTCGAGCTGAACGGCGGTCACTTCCAGTCCATGCGCAGAGTCGAGTTCCAACCAGGCTGCGCCAATGGCAACGTCGTAGCCACGTCAGACCGCGACGGAAAGGTCCAGATCTGGGACCTGCGGTGCTGCATGGCACCAGCCAACGCCTTTTCCACCCGTGGACCTGAGGGCATTGTACACCGAAACAGGAACCAGCCGGCTCTTTGGGCGAGAACGACCAACACGCTTGATAATGCTCACGCTCGCACAGTCGAGGGTGTCACATCCCCGGCCTCTGTTACCGCTCTGCAATACATGCCCGCGGGCCGCGAGCATCTCTTGCTCTCCGCCTCCGAGGCAAACGCTTGCATCAAGCTCTGGGACACCCGGTACATCACGCCGCGCAACAAAGAGGCCTCGCCCCTCGCCGTGACGGCAGAACCGCCAACTCACCGCTGGCGTCCTTACGGTCTGACGTCTCTTGCCCTGAGCAGCGACGCATCCCGTCTCTACGCCGTCTGCAAGGACAACACAGTGTATGCATACTCCACCTCCCATCTGATGCTCGGCAACGCGCCTGAGCTCTCCCTCCGCCCCCCTCGCCAGAAAGCCGGCTCAGCGGTTCGGGGTTTGGCGCCGATGTACGGCTTCAAACATGACATGTTCCACGTCAAGTCATTTTACGTCCGCTGTGCCCTCCGCCCTATATCTACCTCCGGCACCGAGCTCCTGGCCGTCGGCAGCACGGATAAATGCGCCATTCTCTTCCCCACCGACGAGCGAGTTATGCGCGAGCACTGGGACACTCAGAGCCACCTACCCGTTTCCGACACCATCACCTCGGACGCCACGACAGTATCTCACTCGAAGTCACTTGCGGGTGGCCAAGTCCCCATCGTCCGCAACGGAACACCGCTCATTCGCGGCCACCGCCGCGAGGTTACGGGACTGAGCTGGTCCAACGAGGGCAAGCTCGTCACCATCTCGGATGACTACATGGTGCGTCACTGGCAAGAGGGCAATGATGACGGCTCCGGCGGTCGCGACGCGTGGGATCTCCGGACCGGCGGAGAGTTTGGCGGCAACCGGCACATGGCCGGGTGGGCCGACGTCGCGGACGACTGGGACGAGGACTGTGACTCGCATTCTGAGTGCTAATTGACACAACAACATGACGACAAGGCAAGGCCTGGTCGGGGGAAGGGGCGCAGGTCAGGATATGGTTACAAGACGAAAAGTTGGAGAACGCGGGTAGTTTTTTTTTTTCTTTTTCTTTCTCATGACGGGCTCCCACCGAGCCCCTATATGATTTGTATAATGCGTGTAGGTCTGTATCGGTGCGATTTTCTGGGAGTCTCTTTTTTATGAAAGCATTGGCTGGGGAGGAAACAGTATAACACGCGGGCGACACGCACATACATACGGACAGGAAGACGATCGGGCTTGGGTTTGCGTGACACTGGCATGGCTTTGCTCCACGTTGCACTTTGGAATTAGATACCATAGCATTCAGAGGGAGTTAGGGGGGGGGGGGTTCGTGATCCCCTGGTAGTCATAATGAGACATGTCAAGGACCAACTTCGTGTTTTGACGGCGGTAACGGGGAGTTTTGATTCTTCACCGTTGACCGGCTGTACGCCTGATAGCCGCCCATGTCCCGCCAGCTACAAAACGACTACAAAACGTCGCGGTACGTCAAAAAAATGAAGAAACAGCAAGCCAAAAAGAACTAGAAACCAGAGTCTAGGGGGGGTATCGTATATCTATCCCATGCAGTATCCCGAAAAAGGAAGGGAAAAAACGCTTCGGAACGCCAAGCTCGCCATGCTATGCCTCGTGATGCAGAGATCACATCTCTCATCTACCACTCGTCTTCCACTATTATACCATCCTCCGCCGATCTCCGGGTCAGAAAAATCAAGCTGAAAACCGCCGCAAGGCCCACCACGAGAATGATATTGGATACCAACGACATGGTAGAGCGCGGCAGGAGCCGCTGTTGGGGTGTCGCGACACGAGGCGCGACATCGGCCAAGGGCGTCTTGCTGTGTTCCTTCCTGTGCGGCGCCGGCAGCTTTGACTCGAATCTCATAGACTTGAACGCCGGACAACCTATGGGTGGCTGTTCCTCCAGGTCGCGCACGTCCTGTGTGTCGGCAACCTGGGAAGTCTTTCGTTTCCCATGCCAGCAGAACAATCCATTGGGCGTCTCGCCGTCCTCTGGGCCCTTTGGAGCAATCTTCTCCCTCTTCCTTTCTCGAGCCACCGCCAGGCTGTCGCGCAGACGGCCCCCAGGTATCAAGGACGTCCATGGTGACGTAGCCTGTGCATCCCCCAGGTTGGTTTCGCAATTGGTGTCCATCTGGCCAACGAGGAGCAGCATGTTGTCGAATATACACACGGCCTCCTGGATAACATCGTTCCTCTCTTGGGGGGTCAACAGATTCTCAGAGTCCGTTAACCGTTTCTTAAACTCTTTCCTGAGATCCTCGCCGTCTAGAACTGTCGCAAAATGAAAGAAGCCAAGCGGGAGGGAATGGCGAGAGTGCTTTGTGCCAGCGGCAATCGTTCTATGGTCGCCCCTCATCGTGTCGACTGACTCCATACCGACAGAAGCCGGCATGGTTGTCGACGGCTGCTTTGTTTTACAAGCTGTCTGAGAGGGCAAGATCGGCGATGGTATTCGGGCCCAGAATTCCGAGCCCGCAGACTCCAGAGTTGCTCTGATAAACCTTCCCCCGGCAAATAGGGCCATGAAGAGAATATAGGAATACGCCATCAAAACGTGTGGCTTTTTCTCAATGGTGCGCTTTATGTGCTGCGTGAATTCGGCCAGTCGTCCCGATTCCGACACAGCTTTAAGTTGCTCCTCGACAACGTCAGGGGACCATCCCGTGATAGATTCAATGTCGGACCGCAACCTGTCAGTGCGCATGAGTCCTGGTAGGTACAGCGACGTTAGGATCGAGCGTGTCCCCTGGGAAAGAACAGGGCGGTATCTAAGTGAATGATCATCGCTCGAGGACGAAGGTAATCCATCTAGGTCTGATGGAAAGGCGCCCAGTTGATTACTTTTTGCACCACCCACAGTAGGTAGCGGTGGTTCAGCAATGGTTTTCCATAGCGACTCAAAGGTAGCGTAGATGGGCGCAATGTGAAGCAGACCAGAAACATAGATGGACGGGTCGGCGGCGCAGGGAGGAATCGCCAGCGGCAGGCGGGCAATGATCAGCTTGTTAAGCTTCGCGTGGGCAGACCGGGTCGCGGCGGCGATGGACTCCGCCAAGGGACGTTGATTCTCTGCAGCCGAAAACGCTGGTGGTGAAGACATAGCCACAGGCTGTCGGCTAGTCGTACCGTGGCACCTTGGGCCTTTCGAAACGGAGTTGTGTAGCAATGCGCTTATAGGAAGAGGCGCAAGGTACGGGATCGGGTTGTGGCGTAGGTAGGTATACGTAGGACTCGGGGAACACTTGAAGCAGCTAGGCGGCACCGAGTAAACAGCAAAGTGAGAGTAACTTAGGTCGGTAATCGATGTTATGTGACGGAGGTCCGAGGTGTTACAGTTGGTCGTGTCGAGTCGAAGCAGAGGCAGAGGTAGACGGGAGATGATCAGTCTGACAAGATTTTACTCTTTGTCGGTCCTTCTCGAGGTCTCTCGGATGAATCTGGTGGTATAACGAAAATGAAAGTGAAAGCAAAGGAAGTGACAGCGCGGATAACACCAGAATCGGTAGCGGTAGCGTCGATCCCCCGAGGGTAGTCAAAGCCAGTGACGATCGGGTAGTGTCTCACTGGCTGCTCCTCCCAGTGGAGGCCAAGCCAGTGATGGCAGTGTTTTGGGTAGGTAGTAGCGGTTAACAGTGGCGGACGGTAAAGGGAAAGGACCACAAAGAACGTTGTCGAAATTTGGCCCTAAGCTAAAGATGGTCACCTGGGCTACGAGGGAGAGCGTGAGAATGGCCAGCAGGAACCTCCCGTGGTGGGCTTAGACAGCTTTCGCTCTCCTGCGGTTGAGGGTTCGGGTTAGATAGGTGCCGAGGGGGAGTAAGGAGCTAGTGTATCTGCTCTCTAGGAACATTTCCCCCTATGACACGTCTATGTCGACAAGGGCAAAGGAGAAGTTAATAATCGAAAGGAGACGGGGACGTGAACAGGGCCCGGCAGGTTAGGTAGAAAGAGGCTAGCACCGATAGGAGGATGGGAAGAGACTCGAATCGCGGGGTCTCGATTATCGAAGATGCCACGGGTCTTGGCCGGGGTTCTTTCGCTTGTCTCAATGTCGAGATGAGTGGAGGGAAAGAGGATTGCTGGCGTAGGAATAAGGAATCGAAAGTAAGCCGAGGTCTTAGGTGGAAATCGGCACTCGTCTGCCTCGTGGGACACTACCGGTATTCCCAAAGTTGACAAGAGAGAATTGAGGATTTAGATGGATTTCGCCTTTCCCGCTGTACGCAACATAGTGTAGTTGCCGTAGCTATTTTGGAACCCAGCTCGAAGAGAAGTACCGGATGAAGTCACTGAAGTCTGTAGACGCGCGTAGGAAAGGAAAAAGTCGCCGCCCTGCGTCATCTGTAGGCTAATCACTACCATTCCCATCAGTGCATACCTACCACAAGAGTTTCCTGGGGCGAAAAAAAAAATCAAACCGCGAATGCGGTTCGGGTACCCTACCATCTCTGGAGCAAGTATCTCTATCCGTACAGTGATGCGAAAGCAGAGAGGAGCGCCGGAGAGAGGGGGAGGGGCAAGAACCAAAGGGGGGCGTGGGGAGACCAGACGACAGGGACAGTGGTACATACTTTTACGGGCATTCGCCTCTCATTTTCGGCGGTCTCGCCCCCGTAGGACCACTTTTCCCGTGGGCCTGTATTCGCCTCGAACATAGAAAGTACTGCGACGCTGCTCTCTGCTCTGCATTTTGCCGGTTACTGTACCAGAATTCAGCGGGCTGAGACCAATGCGATATACGTGGCTTACCGCACTTCTTGTTTTCTTATCTCCTTTATGCCTGGGGGTTATATATCTATGTGTTAGTGTGTGTGTGTGTGTGCGTGTGTGTGTGTGTGTGTGTGTCGGCCAGCGGATCTGGAAGCTGGGAGAGACATTGCCGCAGCTCAATTCTCCCAACTCCCAAGTCCCAAGTCCTCCCCGACTAGCGATTAGTTCCCTCGTAGCCTTCGTTATAGGTCCTTGCAACTCTGGGACTGGATTTCTGGGGCCTTCTGCAGAAGGAATCGTCTCCCTGTCATGTAGTATAGTCTCTGTCAAGCCACCTCCTGTCCTCCTCGCTTTCCGTTGCCCTCCCCAATGACCTTCCTGTCTTTCCCGTCCACTTTCCGCTGTCCGATAATTTCTGCCCACCACTGCTCCGGGACAAACTGCCCCAATCACACCTGGAAATAAAGTACCAACAAACTTTCCAAATTCTCGCAACTCTATCACCCGGGGAGAGCCCAGCAGCCTCGAGCTCCCACAGTCGCCCACAGCTAGCTTAGCAATCCTGGAGACTTCGCAATCAAGCGACAGAGCCACTTGCCCAGCCTTCCTGGTTGCAATGGAGGCAGACCGCTGGACGGCGGCGAATCCGATTGCCTGGCTGCTGCTCGCCCCCCACCCCTCTCCACTATGCCTACGCCGCCGATCCCACCCTAAAGTGAGCAGACATCGTGTTTAGCAAAGCCTGCTCATCGCATTCTCCAAAATCCCGTCTCGTGTTCTTGGTCCGAAACGGCAACCTCTGCCTGCCAACCCCGCCCTCGTCTTTCCGTCCGTCCCTTGGAGTGCTCCGCTACATGTGCAGGAATTTTCACCTCCAATGTAGTGTACGTAGTATGACCAACTCCTGTGGACCCTCTACAAGTCGTTCGATGTTCATCGGAGACGACTCGCGTAGACCCGCGTCAACCGCCCTGAGCCCTGTATCCTCTGACTCTCACTCTCTCGCCTTCGCCCTGCGGACAACGACACTTGGAGGCTTCCATTATGTCGGAAGAAATAACGAAAGTTATTATATTAATAACTACAAGGCAGATAGGACGCTGTGTTGTGCCCACGTTTGCGCTCCAGGTTATTCAAACATTGGAGGCGTCATGCAGAACGCCATGATCCATGCATAGGTATGCTCCCACACTCTGCCCTTTGATAGCTTCTCTGCCCGTCTCTCTACCCAGTCTATAAGCGCGCCGCCCGAGGTCCTGCCTCCGTACCATTGTCGCCCGGTTCGTCCTCGTGGCTCTCATTGTTGATGAACAAAAAGGAGATGAGCACGACAGCCGCGCCGGCCCAGTATACCCAGCTGGAGTACTGCGAGTACTGGATCATCTCGCCGATAAGCGATAGCGGGATCGTCAGCGACAGGCCCACCGTGACCACAAGCGGCGTTGTGAGCAGCATAGCGTATGCCCACGACATGTCGCTGATGAAGGACGACAGCGAGTTGCCGATGACGATGGCCCAGATCTTGCCCGTTGGGGGCAAGGAGAACTAGATGATGTTAGATATAGTTCGCTATTGGGTGGACGGACAAGACAGGGACGACTCACTGGTTCCTGCCCTGAGATGTGCAAAATAAAGAACACCGGCCACAGGAACACCAGATTGAACAGGCCGACCAGCCCAAAAAATAGTGGCATGTTCACCCGGTCCTCGTTACCGACCCGCCGCTTCATCACAGTCACGTAGAGACCGTAGATAATGGCACTGACGAACGCCATCATGTCCCCGATGGCGATCTGCGTCGTCGTCTTGTGAGGGAACGACCCACGGTTCTCGTCGCTCGAGCCCGACAGGTCGACCGTCGAAATAAGAACGATGCCCGTCAGCGACGCCATCACGCCGATGAACTTACGCAGCGTGAAACCTTCGACACCCATCAGCGCGCAGAAGACGAGCGTCCAAACGCTGCTCGTCGAGTTGAGAATCGTCACGCTCCCGACGCTCGTGTACTCGAGGCACGCCGACGCAAAGTAGTTTGCGAAAAACCACAGCATGCAGAACTCGAGGCTGATGATGGCCGTCTCCCGGAACGTCAACCGCTCCACTGGCCTGGTCACCTCGAAACCCTCCATCTCCAGGCTCGGCTCGTCGTCGACCAGTAGCCGCTCGCCCGCCACCGTGTCCTCTTCGTGCTCGGCCGTCTTGGAGCCCGCCTTGCCATGTCGCTGCTCGTTCCAGACCACCATGGCCTCGCGCCGCAGGCCCTCAACGCCGTGCTGCATCAGAAAGCGCACCAGCATTGGTATCAGCGACACTGCAAATACCGACGTGTTCATGTATACCACGAAAAATGGCTTGTCGTACGAATGATCCGAAAATATGTACTGTCCACCGTCAGCCCAAATCCACCACCGTACTCGAGAAGGGACCTGGCGCATACCGATGCCATAAAGTTGGATAGCGTCCAGAGCAGCACGGTCAAAAGCAGTAGTGAAATACCCAGCGTCCGCCTCGCCACGCCGCCCAGCCCCATTTTCGCCTGCCATCCCGACGACCGCACTGTCGACCTCGACCGAGTTGTAGATGCAACAGACGCGCTCAGCCGGTCGGTGCTCGAGAAGGACCTCCTCGGAGGACGACTGTCTGACTCGGGAGCTATCGTAGCGGATAGCATTAGCTCGTTCGGTGCCATTGTTGTTTCAGGGTTTCGCGATCTGTCACAAAGGGATATGGTGTATTCAGGAAGGATTGTCCGCCGTCTGGTAGTCCAAGACCGTCGATGCCGTAGGCATTTGACCACGGGGAGGCAATGACAGAGAATTCGAGCTTCGTTGATGAACGTGTCCAAGGGAGCGGTGGTCAAATGTCTCGTCGCTGACTCGGCGCATGTAAACCCGGTGCGGGTTGCCGTAGGCTAATGGAGTCTTCGGAAGGTCGGTAACGAGGGTATGTCGATGTTCGAGGCAGGATCACCGGAGACCAGAACCCCGCAAAGAAGCCTGTCACGTTTCTCTCGTCGGACGTGTCGTCCGCGGGGATGGGCTTCACGTGTCGTCCGCGAGGATGGGCTTCCTTTTCTTCTCGAAGAACGTTGGCTCTTCCCCAAAAACGAAAAAAAACAAAAAAAACAAAGGGATTTGAATTGACGTTGTTTAGGGGCGTTTCTTCAGGGCTAAGTTTCACTGGTACGGGCCAGTACGCGCCCCCTGTATCCGTATTCGTCCCGAGTACCGACCGACCAATAGCCGTAGGGCAGTTGCGTGCCACTGCTGTGTCTCAGGTCTCAGCCTCCCTGCTCCGTTCCTTTTCGACACGTACTTGCTCACAGCATGAGGCTCGGCTTGGTCTCGGTCGCCGCTGGATAAAGCTAAGCACGACGCCGCGCGGCGGCTTGCAGAATGGTTGCCAGGCCGGAATTGGTGCCGGTCTCCAAACTGGAGCCTAGTGCAGCCTTGGATTTAGTCTTCCGAGTGGAGACGGCAAGCATGATCCGTCAATCCGAGCCGAAGCTTGACGTCAAAGGCCCGAAGATTTGAGAGTCCTCATTCAATTCTTTCATGTCATGAAGCGGGATGGGTGTGGTGCCAAGTAAACGTTCATAGGCTCTGGTGGTGAGCAGGTCCAGACTATCACTCAGAACGAACCTGGCACATCGCAACAAAGATCGGCATACTACAAACAAACAAGCCCGTAATCGAATTCAAATGAAACCTCTAAACACCATCCACACCAGTGCAGGATATGCTACATCAAGCCAAGGACAAAATGGATATATGGAAAGGCCCATGGACTGAACATAATGCGAGTCGGGCCCCGACACTGCATGCGCGCCCTAACCCCTCCTTCTCGTTCAACATTAACCAACTCAACCGACACCTGCTTAGCAAGAGCATCCGTCCCGGGGGTTCTCAATGGGGATGTTGATGACATCCTGGTAGTCACCGCTGAACTCTTCAGACTCCTCCTGAGCGAGGGCGTTCCGCGCGATGACTGGTCGATATCGTCAGTAACTCTCTTAATCGTTTGAATGGATGGAACCAACCTTCGAACGCCTGCTCAACATTGATGGCCTCCTTTGCACTGGTCTCGAAGTAGGGAATTCCGCCCTTGGACTGGCAAAAGGTCATCGCGCGCTTGGTAGAGATCTACAGAGCGTTAGTACATAGTTCCGGCATCGATGATCCCGGGCGCACTTACCACCCTCTTGCTCTCCTCGACATCGATCTTGTTTCCGAGAACGACCTGGTCCCTTATCAGCGCTAATCTTGTGTTATCTTGGGCATTGACGGCAACTAACAAATGGGAAGTTGTCGGGGTCACGCGGTGAAGCCTGGATCAGAAACTCGTCCCTCCAGCTGTCCAGAGCATCAAAACTCTTGGAGTTATTGACGTCGTAGACGAGCACGCAGCAGTCGGCGCCGCGGTAGAATGCGACACCCAAAGACTGGAAACGCTCCTGTCCCGCCGTGTCCCAGAGCTACCGTCCTCCATCATTAGCATAGTCCGTGTGTGTGATCGGACAGCTTATCGGTGTTTGCCCACCTGCATAGTAACCTGGCGGTCGTCGACGAGAACCTCGCGGGTCAGGAAGTCGGCGCCGATCGTGGCTTTGTAGCTTGCACTGAACTTCTTGTTCACCTAGATCCGGCGAAATGTCACGTTAGCCAGTGCCCCAGCCTCTTACTGGTCGTCGCCAGGCGGATGGGTAGAGACTCACATATTGGTTCATCAGACTCGTCTTGCCGACACCGCTGTCGCCAAGGATAATGACCTGCAAAGTAGCGACATCGTCAATTATGCCGCGCGGGGATTCTGTCGGTGGCGTTCAGGGAAGCTCACCTTGAGAAGGACCTTCTTTCTCGATGACATCGTGGATTTTTGGGGTATGTGGGAGTTAAAGTTGGGGAAGATCAGGCGTCAACAGGTCGTTGGTCTGTGTAGTCAAAGAGACTTTCTGCGTCGCGGATGGATCAGGTATCGGTTCGGATGTCGAAATGGTCGAAAACGGACCGGTGGTCGTGCTTCAGGGGTGGTTGGTTGGAGTCGACTGCAGGCCGACACACGTCGAAGGTTCGGAGAGTGATGGTGGATGTTGACAGGGAAGGCCTGCGGTACAGAGAGCTCCCGTCACATTTCCAGGTTTCAGCCTATCAGAGAGCTGCTTCTGTGCTGGGTCTAACCAGGAAACGGTCCTGAGGCGCCTTTCGTCAGGTGCATTCCGCTTTTGCACATGTGGCTGACGTAAGGCGGTTTACCTTAATGCGAGTCCCCCCCAAGCCGCTGGAATGACGCTGGCATGAGTTGCTAGAGCACCGGAACGCCTGGACGCACTGCAGCGGACTCCCCACACCACGCCCAGAGCTGCTCCAGCCACATTGTGCATCTCGTCTCAACGACGCTCTAGGCGGCGGCTAAGTGCGGAAGCAACGCACTCACGCCTCCTAAGAGTCTAAGACCTCCATCGCTCGCGTCACATGTATGCTGCTGTGGGCGAACACGCTGCAAGACTACACTCGTAGCCCAGCATGCGCTGATGGGACTTTCGACACACATCTCACCCGATCCTCATGGCGGATGAAGATCTCTTGACCAAGGTCCATGGCCTGAGCGACCTCGAGCTCGCCGTCCTGCTGTGCCTGGTAAACCGAGAACACTGCATCGTCAGCACTCCGCCCGTTGCCCTCAACGAACTGATTGAAGAGCTTCAGCTCGTGTGTACGCCCCGGGTCATGATATTATCTAGACACTGACGTCTCCAGATTGCAACCAAGACCTTCGGTCTGAAGTGCGCCGTCGTGGATTGCACCCCGCAAACCACGCTCGAGGACTTTGCATCCTCAATCCTCACCGCCTCGTCGTCCACAGCGACGAGATCCGGCTCGCCCCTCCGCACTCGTAATGAGCCCTCCTACTTCTTCTCACACGCGGGCATCTCCCCCTTGACTGCTGTCGCTGCCTCCAGCCCGACCGGCCCTGGCGGCGCAGCCGGCTACTCTATCGCCAACGTTGTCTTGGCCCGGAACCTCGACCGCGCCCCCAAGGCCGTGCAGATCCAGGCCCTCGAGCTGCTCCGCACGCGCCGCATCTTCACTCGCACCTCCGTCCAGACCGCGCCCAAACAGTTCCTCTTCGTGGCCGCCCTGGGTGCCGAGAGCGGCGGCAAGGCGCACGTCACATTGCATCTGAATGACTACTTCTTCATCGCGCACTGGCACGATCCCGACGACGGCTTTGCCAATCTGGACGAGGCGTATGATGCCACCGACGGCGCCGAGACCGCCAGTACCGAGAGCGTGGTTAAGAAGAGCATCAACGGTGATGTGTTGGCCGTCAGCGACGATCCCGTTTTTAGCGAAGGGGTAAGTGATTACGTCTGCGAGACGTGTCCAATCTGAGCTGACTTGTTGTAGGACATCGCGGCTCTGGCGAAGCTCAGCCGAGAGGTGCATATCGACGTGGATGTGCTGCGCTACCAGATGGACATGGTCACATACTTGAGGATGCACCGCGCAGTTGCAGGTGGCATTGAGCCAGTCGCAACCAAACACTTGGAACAGTTGCTCAAGTGTCTCGCACCATTGCATGGCCTAGACTATGTCACGCCCGCTCTCGTTCACTTGGCTACTAGGAAGGTATACCTGCATCGGATCCGGATAGTGCACCCTCGTCAGGAGCGGAGCATGCAGTGGGGCAGTCAGTTAGAGGCCATCGAGGCGATACTCGAAGGTATTGGCCCCGAGGACGTCATTGAAGACGTAATAGGGATGGTGACGGCGCCGTTATGAATGCAGACGTGAGCAACATTTAGGGATCGTGGTGTATTCTAAATGACCTAGCTCGATGAGCTTTTCGCCCTTGACACCCATAAAAAGCATACAAGACATAGAACGCCTGCCCCTCGATCTGTATACTGATGCGTGTTCCGCCGTTTAACATTCGTTAGTCTCCAGCACAACGACTCGTAATCGAACATTCCCATTTCTGTCGTGGAATTAAAAATCTATAAAATTACAAGCCAGCCAACGCCAAGGGGAGGGCCCTCGCAACATCGTCACAGGACGGCTGGTTGGCTTAGTTGACCTGGTTGACCCTGCACTGCCAGCCGGAGCCGGGAGAGAGGAGCGGCAAGCTGTGTGCTCTGTTAGCATTGATCGGCAAGTCTAGATGGGGCCAGTGTTTACCTAGCGCCGAGGCACCAGCCTAGCTCGTTGCCCTTGATCTTCTTGGCAATCTTGACCTCGCGGTCAATAGGCATCTCGTATCCGGTGTGAAGGAGGGCCATCATGAAGTTAAGATCGAGGCAGTGCTCTGGGCGACCCTGGAGTTCCTTGAGCGCACCCGGAATGCTGGCGAACAAGTCCCAAGACTTCTCGCCGCCGCACACAGAGTTGGTAAGGTCGTGCATCTCGCGGAGGGTGAAGGAGTCAGGCATTCCGAGAGGCTTGGTACGGTCGTAAAAGTAGGAAAAGATGTAAACGTCTTCGCGACTGAAGGTCTTGGCCAGCGAAGGCTGATGAACACCGTTGAAGGAGCATGGAGCGAGCTTGCAGTCCTCATCCTTCTTCAAAATCTTCTCGGCGAGGTTGCGGCACTGAGCGGGGGCGGCCTGAGAGGGGCCGGTCATGTTAAAAGTCATCGTCCTGCCGAGAGGGTGGTTGTCGTCCAGCTCGACCTCAACCTCCCTGACCATGCCGGGGGCGATGCACGGGTGGACGATGGGCTGCTTGACCCAACTGTCGTCCGACTTCTTGCTCTCGAAGATATCCTGGATTAGGGCCTTGTGTACGGCTTTGCGGGCGCTCATCAAGCCGTATCCGAGATGGGAGTGTTGGTAGAGCTCGAACTTCTGTCCGCCAAAGGCGAGGTCGTACTTGTGGTCGCCCTCCTCAAGCTTATCCGGCATGCCTCCGTCCGCAGCTCCCTTGAAGGTGGGCTCGAAAACAATCTGGGTAGAACCGCCGCCGAGGTCGAAGACGGCAGCTGTGGGGCTCTTGTCGGGTCCGCCGATCTTACCGAGGAGGTAGTTGGTCGTGATCCAGGCGTAGACGCCCTCGTCGGCACCGTCCATGATAGCAACACCGTTATCCTCCTTGGCGACAACGGGGAAAGGGTACTTGGTCTCGAGACGGTTGCGAACGGCCGTAAGAATCTTTTCGGCATTCTCAGCTCCCACCATGCGGAGCCCAGCCGTCGCTTTCACTGCTACAGGACTGCACGACTTGAGCTTGTCGGGAACGGTTTGCATGGCGACCTCCATCAAGTTGTCGAGAGTCGCCGCAGCAGCCTCCGGGTCGTCCTTATACTTGCTGAGACCGCCGACCGACTTATCCGTCATCTTGAACTCTTCGTGCTCAAGCTCAGGAGTGGAACCGCAGTTGTTGAACTTGTAGACATGAATTCTGGAGCCTGTGCTGCCAGCGTCGATCATCAGGACATACTGAACGATGGGCTTCGACTTGGAGCTGGACTGGGTGCACTTGCTGGTGCCGTAGGAGGCATCTGCGGGAACTTGGCCACCGGCGCCGCCTTTCGAGACTATACCTTGTTAGCATCCTCGCCGGCCACGCTAACATGGCTGCATACCTCCTCCCTCATTGTAGACGTTTACGCCTCTGGGAGACATATACCAGAAGAGGAGGACGACGAAGAAGGCGATGGCCCCCGTTCGCATCCACCTCGTCTTCTGTGCTTGAGACATATCACTCAGTCGTCCAAGCAGACTAGTATTCCGCTGAGCAGGCGCGAACCGACCGGGCTTTTCGTATGGGTCTCGAGCGAGTTGCTTCGTCGGCAGCGACACAGATGTTCTTCGCATTGGCCGCGTGTTGTCGAGTATTCAGTTGAGCACTAGGTGACGAATTCGAGATATGCCGCTGTCGAAGAGGGTGGAGGGGAACAAAGGAGTGGACTGGGACCGGGAGCCGATTACAAAGGTAGCAGCGGCAGCACGGTGACTCGAGGTTCGAGAAGAGGTGCGCGTGGCTGAGTGAGAAAAGGAAAAGAAAGAAAAAAGAGCGGACGGAATGGTGCCACGACACCAGAAGGAAGCGCGAAATTCGTGCCTATGTAAGGAGGCGTCAAAGGGGGAACCAGAGATGCAAGGTACAGTTGGCCTCGAAGGGGGTTCGATGGCAATTGCAGATTTTCTCTTGGCTGAGAGGTCATCAAAAGTCCAGACACCCCTGTTGAGGGTGGCAGTTTGCTAATCTTGAGTGCGGCAGCGGGTACGACACGAGCCTACTAGATTGCCGGAAAGTCGACAAGATTTGAATGCGTCCCGCTTAATGGCTCCGCGATTGGGGCAGGGCCTGTCGTTCCCTGCTACGCCCCCCTGCATGGGCTTGTGTGTGCACCATTTTGCGCTCCTTGTTCCGTTCCCCCAGCTTACCTACTCTGCTAACCTCCAGGGGGGACTAGCAGGTAAGGAGCACATTGACCAACGCTTACCTAATGATCAGCCTGGTGGCAAGCCACGTGTGGCGCATATCACCGGATCCGACATTGTGACAGGTTCCTGGAAGCTTCTCGGTCATCATCAATTACGACTACGCCTGGTGCCTTGTATGTTGATAGTACATAATTGAGGGACCGGAAACGATTCAAGCAGTTGCACTTTGAGACCTTTTCTCACAAGCAATCGGCCCCCTGAATCAGCAGCCTCGCCCTCAAGTTTCATTGTTACGATCACTCGAGCAGGCATAGCCGACCCATAGTAGTACCAACATGGACGTGCATCTCTTGGTGTACGATCTGTCCCGGGGTTTGGCCCGGCAAATGTCCCAGGGCCTGCTCGGGTTCCATCTTGATGCCATCTACCACACGTCGATTGAGCTCAACGGCCGCGAGTATGTCTACGACGGCGGCATCGTTGCCATCACTCCGGGGTCGTCTCACCTGGGGCAACCCATGGAGCGGATCTTTCTGGGGAGGACGGAGCTGCCCATGGACGTGATTGAGGAATTCTTAGAGTCACTCAGGCCAATCTTCACAGTCGAGGTGAGATCTGTTCAACACCCCTCACGGACCAGAAGATGCTGACCAGATCTCAGGCCTACGACTTGTGGAAACACAACTGCAACAACTTCTCAGACTCCCTTGCTCAGTTCTTGCTTGGGAAGGGCATCCCGGAGCATATCATTAAGATGCCCGATGCTGTGCTCAGCTCTCCAATGGGCAGAATGCTCATGCCCCAGCTTAACCAGACCATCAACTCCAGCAGACAGAACGGTTCAATCCTTGGAATCCAGAGCCCTCATTCCACCAACGGCTATGGATCAGCACCGCAGCCCACGAAACCCCAAGCGAAGGTCAGAGTTGTCCACGGCTCCCAGGAACTGGACGATGCTCTCGAGGCTGCAAAGAAGTCCTGTGCCGTTGTTCTCTTCACCTCTGCAACCTGCCCGCCGTGCAGAGCCATCTCGCCCGCGTTCGATGAATTGTCTGCAGAAGCTGCTGACAAGGCTGCTTTTATCAAGGTCGACGTTGCCCAGCTTACGCCGCTTCCCGGGAAGAACTACCCTCGCGCGACCCCGACGTTCATCACGTATTTGCATGGGGAAAAGGAGAATGAGTGGGCTGGTGCTGACCCCGCTGCTCTTCGAGGCAACGTCCAGCTCCTGCTGCAGATGGCCTGGCCGCGGCATCCTCACGAGTCCCTTAACCTGCCAAGCTTCTCCAACCCGACTGCAAAACCAGTGCTGTTTTCCAAGGTGCCACCACTGTCCAAGCTGCTAGGCAAGATGGGTTCTACGGCAGACGAGCCAGTCGTTCAGGGGATCAAGCAGTTTGTTGAGGCTCGTGACAAGGAGGGCGCTGCAGCCGCCATTCTTCCAAACATGAGCGAGGTCTCGGCGCTCATTCAGAAGTCAATCCAGTCCCTGCCTGTCGAGATTATGTTCACCATTGTTGACCTCTTCCGATGCGGGCTCGTGGACGCTAGGTTCAGCGGCTTCTTCGCTGAGGAGCCGGAGCACAAGACCGTCTTGGCGATTCTCAATTTTGTCAACTCGCACAACGAATGCCCCTATGCGCTGCGGTTGGTAACGTTGCAGATGGCGTGCAATCTCTTCTCGACGCCGCTGTTCCCAGAAGAAATCCTCCGCAACGAGGCGTTGAGGGCTCCGATCATCCAGTTGATCTCGTCAAGCTTCCTCGATGACAGCCACAATAACGTACGCGTATCTGCTTCTTCGCTCATGTTCAACCTGGCTCTGTTCAGCAACAAGGCAAGACGAGAGAAATCAGTGGACGTGCTACCCGAAGGCGACACGGTCGAATTGGCTGCGTCAGTGTTGGAGGCCATAGGACAAGAGGAGTCCTCTCCAGAGGCTCTACAGGGCATGTTGCTCGCATTGGGTAACTTGGTGTATTGCGCGCCGGCAGACAGTGAAGTGTCAGATCTGCTGAGGGCAATGGACGCAGAGGATGCGATTATGGCCAAGAAGAAGCAGTTCCCAAATGAGAAAATAGTGGCAGAGGTGGGCTCTGAGCTTCTGGGAAAGGGACTTAGACGGCCGTAACAGGCCCTGTTAGACATTAGACGGCGTGGCGTTAGGCGTTGACACCGTCAAACAAGTGTCGGGCTGTTTACCAAGTAGGTTTTTGTTTGCATAGACCATTTCTTTACTGCAACTTTATAGTCGAGCTGACCACATGGATTATTTTCTTTTCACGGTCAACGGGGCAGCGCCTCCTTCTCAATCCATTGTATTGGCCGGGTCTCTTTTTCTCCATCGCCATCTCACTGCATCAACTCAACACGAGTGCCAGTCGACCGAACTCTTATCCGCAGAGGCAATACGTACCGCCACCCCTGCCGTCTACCCAAGGCGGACAGCACACCGCACAGGAAAGCGTGGTGCCCCAGCAACTCGGCCCCACCAAACCTTTACCCAATCAGGCAACTAAGTAAACAAGCCCAACCGCCTCGATTTGTGATGTGGGCTTCACAACGACATCGATACCGCACAATCATCGACGAACTCAAGCTGACTTTGCGAGAATTATCTCTCAACCACCGAATGCTTCCGCCAGTGGTTTCCGAGATGCCGTCTCTGTACTCGTCTGCTTCAACCCCGTCGCTGCGGTCGCACGATGGGCCGGTCAAGGTGGACGGGGGAGGCAATGTCCGGGTTGTCGTTCGAGTCCGGGCATTCCTGCCCAGAGGTGAGAGGCTCACCGATACGAGCTGAACGAGGCTGATCAGATTCCGCAGAAATCGAGCGCGGCGCCGAGTGCCTGGTAGAGATGGACCCCATCACCCAGCAGACGACGCTGCGAGTGCCGAACGACAATGACCCAGCGAATGCGAAAGCGAAGGCCCGAAAAATTATTGAGGAGAAGACATTCACGTTCGATAATTCGTTCTGGAGCCACGACATCAATGACAAGTACTATGCACACCAGGAGGAAGTCTACAACAGCCTAGGCGAGGAGTTCCTCGACCACAACTTCGAGGGCTACCACACCTGCATCTTCGCCTATGGCCAGACGGGTTCCGGCAAGAGTTACACGATGATGGGTACGCCAGACCAGCCGGGCTTGATCCCCCGAACGTGCGAAGATCTCTTCGAGCGGATCGAGGCCGCGCAGAACGAGACGCCCAATATTTCCTACAATGTCAGAGTCTCTTACTTTGAGGTGTACAACGAACACGTCCGCGACCTGCTGGTTCCGGTCGTGCCACACCAGCCGCCCTATTACCTCAAGATCAGAGAGTCGCCGACGGAGGGGCCGTACGTGAAGGACCTGACCGAAGTGCCGGTTCGGAATCTCAACGAGATCCTGCGGTACATGACCATGGGTGACAGATCGAGGACTGTGGCCAGCACCCGGATGAACGACACTAGCAGTCGCAGTCACGCAGTCTTCACCATCATGCTGAAGCAGATCCATCACGACATGGAGACGGATGAGACGACGGAGCGCAGCTCGCGTATCAGACTGGTCGACCTGGCCGGCAGCGAGCGCGCCAAGGCTACTGAGGCAACGGGCCAGCGACTTCGCGAGGGCAGCAACATCAACAAGTCGCTGACAACGCTCGGTCGAGTGATAGGGGCGCTCGCCGATGCCAAGCCGGGCTCGAGGAAGCGCAACAAGGATGTCGTCCCGTACCGAGACTCGATCCTCACGTGGCTGTTGAAGGACTCGCTGGGAGGCAACAGCAAGACGGCCATGATCGCCTGCATCGCGCCTTCGGACTACGAGGAGACCTTGTCGACGCTCCGTTACGCAGACCAGGCCAAGCGTATCCGCACGCGTGCGATTGTCAACCAGGACCAGATCTCGTCTGCGGAGCGCGACGCCCAGATTGCCGCCATGGCGGAGGAGATTCGCGCCCTCCAGCTCTCAGTGTCGGAGTCGCGACGGCGGGAGAAGGACACCAAGGAGCAGGAGGAGAGGCTGGAAGAGTACCAGAACCATGTTGCCACGATGCAGCGCATGATGGAGGAGCGCAGTCTCGTCGCGGAGGGCAAGATCCGCAGCCTGCAGACGGAGAACGAAGCGCTGCGACTGCACCTGAAGCTCGCACTCGAGAGCCTCAAGAACCCGATCCCGACCGTCACGATCAAGCCGCCGCAGCCGGAGGAGGCGGAGGGCAATACTCAGGACAGATCGGCGGAGTCAGACGACAAGGAGAAGGCGGACGATGGCGAGTCATTGTACGACGACTCAGACGACACGGCATACGACTCGGACGTCATGGAGAACAATGCCAGCGACATGCAGGAGTACATGCGCAGCCTGCTCAGCGACCTGGGCATGTTCCGCAGGAAGATCGGAGACGACAAGGAGCGCTGGGTCGTGGAGAAGGCGACCTTGGCAACCAAACTGGGCGTATAGAGATGCGGAGAAGGAATGAAGGACTGGGCTATTGATAGTTGTACAAAGTGTCAAGATCACGACGGTAAGCAGCATGGTGTTTTAGGAGTCTGGCATTCAGGGATAGGGCTGCTTAGAACGAAAATTGCATACATAGTATGCGCGCCAACATATGTGTCCCCATTTCATACGGGCCTCTGGGCCAGGACAAGACGGCAGAGATGAACTGGGAACCGCGTTCCGGGAACAGGTGAGACTTCAACGTCCACGTCGCGATTGAAACCTGTAGAGTACGACCCGTCCAGCCAGATTACGTGCGTAGTAGGCGTTCGTCTTTCTTGACAGGCTCTTTCCCACACAGACCGAATCCCAGACCGGGCTTCGTTCGGCGGCTCCTTGTGAGAGAGACCAGGCAGGTAGGTCCCAGGTAGTTGGGAAATAGGGATGCCGCTGTCAGGGCCGGGACCGATCGGACTAGGAGTCAGGGATGTAACATCAGGAAGGGATGACGACAAACGAGCTGGTGAACTAAAGTTGCCGTGCCATATGAACTGTGGGCTACAGAGTGGAAAGTCCGACCTAGACTGGCAACGTAGTGTAATCCGACGAGTTGACGCGCAAACGCGCGCGAAGTGCAGAATGCTATAGGAGACGTGGGCCATGATATCTTACTTGGAAGCAGGTATACTGCGAGACAGCACATAAGCTAGTCCCCACTCCCCTGACACCCCGCAAGGAGGGAGAGGGGGGAGGGATGAATGGAGGCGAGAAGCTTTAGGCGTGGAGTATTCGGTTTGGTGTGGTGTTTGACATTGATTGGGCAGACGCCTTCGCGATGCCAGAGGCCTGATCAAAAAGGCTGAATTCTGTCGCTCCAACGAGACAGTGAGGGGCACGTGGTCCGTGAGACTGGACGTCAACTACACTACCCAGCTACGGGAGGATGAATTGCGTTGGATTGCTTGGGACAGCCACGGCAAACGGCAAACGCATGCATAAGACGCCCGCGGCTGGCGAGTATCTGATCTGCGATCTACACCACGCCCGGTTAAGCGGCAGCCATGAAAACCAGACCCTGCGCCCTCTCCTGCTCTATTAAAGATGTTTAGGATATTGGAAACTGCGTGGCCGTATGGGTTGAAAGCATCAAGATGGCAGAAGCTCAAGAGGGAGAAGGGGGGGGCAGTAGCGGCGCTGGGCCAGGAACCCCAGGACTACGGACGAGAGTCCCTGCACATCATGCTCCGCGGAAGTTGTCCAATGCTTTCCTGCACCCCAGGGCTACGTGTGTACGGGACAGATCGGTCAGGCGCAAGCAAGCGAGAAAGCAAGCAAGCAAGCAAGCAAATGTACGGATCGACCGACGAGTTGCCAATGAGGCCCAGGATCGGGAAGCGAGGGGCCGATAGAGTGTGGGATGTGACGCCGTGCCTGGAGTCAATTGGATATAATGGGCGTGTGCCCTTTACGTGCTTTGTTATCGCGCGTCAGCTCAGACGTTGCGGACGGGACGCCAAGTGGTGTGCCCGCACGGTAGTGCTGTAGTCCGGATTGGCGAGGGCATCATCGGGGACCCGACACCCTGGGTTCCGGGAGTACACTGCGCAGTAATTGGCTGGCAGCCCAGAAAGCAAGGACTTTCTCTGCATATCACTGCCTCGGCAGACATGGCATCGTTTCCAACGGCATAGGTATTGGGCCGTGACTTGTCGACTTTGACGGACATGTGGACGTGGCTATATCCGTACCTACTGCGACTCCTATTCCACTGGACTCCATATGGAACCCGCAACTGGCCCCGATTCGCTTCGGCGCTGGGCCGTATTTCCACGGCACGGCACAAGCCTGGGCCCCGGTCCCTGTTCCCAGATTGATCTGCCCCTAATTGATCAATAATCCCCTGATTGTCTCTCCTCGTGGCCTTTGCAAGCTCGTACTGAGATGGTCGTGAGGGCGCAGCAGAGCAACAGCAACCTTCTTGAATGTGAACCTGTAGGTTCCGTTTTTGCTTCTTCTGCCCATCTTAGTCGCCGCGTGCTGTCACTGGCCGCGATGATGTTTCAGGGCAGTAAGATGTTCCCACCAAGGTTCTCTCATCCCTGGGGTAGGAGGGGGCACCGTTGTCCTTTTTTATTTTTATTTTTCATCTTTCCACTCAGTAACATCTCCAAGGGTCGCCTGCTTCTGGTCCGATCGAGATAACAGTTGCCCCTAGCGCCTGGCGTCTACTATGTAGAGAGCGCCCTTGATCAATTGGTTTCTAGCGTTAGTTCCAGCATCTTCGGTGCACGTCTCCAAAGACGGGACGGACGGCCGTGGGCGCTGGCTGTCGCCAGGACGTCGCCATGGTTGGTTGGCTGCGCTTGGTCTATCTGTCTGGCTCGTGTCGTTGAGCGGCGGCAGGCAGAGTTGCTCTGAACGCGGCAGCAGCAGGCATCGATTCTTCAAGTCTGCTTCAACTTCTGGTGCCCCAGGGACCGAGGAGTAGCACGATGTACGGATAATGCGGTTCGGATCCCGTAGCGAGACTGAGGCGATCCACGTCCTTGCTGATGTCCCCCATCTCTCCAAGAACACTCTGCTCTGCTGACTGCTGACTCTCCGGCGCCATTCGCCAAATATTGGCCAAGGTTCCCTGCTCTGTTGCGATTCAGACCTCAGATCCCGATGTTCCCTGTTCAATCTCCAGACAACCCGTTCTCTTGGACGCGGTACGCAGCGGTACCTGGCGCTGGGATGTCCCTCAGCCAAAATGTCCTGTCCCTCGAACCGAGTGTCGTCTTGGCTGGAGTTCCCCTGGAGTCCCTAGTGCCCTCTCTCCTTTTGCCTCCTTGCGATGTACCGACCTTGAAGCACAACCGTAATCTTCTTGAGGAGTCCTCGTCTCGGCCACGCCACGATGCGACATGAGACGGACGACACCTTATTACCCTTACCGTACGCCGCCCATTCACGTCTCCTCCTCTTCCCCCCTTTTTTTTTCTCTCCACCGCCTCTCCCTCGGTCACCGCCCTGTCGTGTGTGTAACTCCCATCACTCTTTATCATCAACCTACTGGATCCGCACGTCGAGTCATTCAGAGTTGCACGGAATCTCTACTGCGTACAACCCCCAGCCCCTCTCCAACCCATATTGGCAGGTGCTTTGGTTTACAACCCCGCGGGTTTCCAAACTCGTCCCAGGCCCTGAACAGATCGGCACTGGAAGGACGCAAAAGCGTCAGAGTGGCAGCATTTCAAGGGCATCTGTCTGTTTCCGATATCCCGTCTCGTCTCGTCATCCTTTCTAATTCCCAGCCCAGGGCACCGTCGCTCCTCAATCGCCAAATCCCCACCGAACGGCCCTTTGATTGGTGTATCCCAAACAGCCCCCCAAGCCACCTCCCTCCCGACCTTTCCAGCCAGGCCCAGCAACATCCACTGTGCTGTCCACAAACCTAGTGTACCCAGGAGAGACACCGGGCAGACAACGGTCAACAACCATCCCGGTCTCGCACATCTACCTTGGTGTACATAAGCTGTCCCGCACCACAAACGGTCCTGCCCACTTCTGCCCCTCGTTGCTTCATCGGGCACCGTCGCATCACCCCGAGCCAACCAACGACCGGCTGCCAGATCAAGGGCTCCAGTAACAGTCTTCGCCCCTCTCGGCCACGCCTACCCGACACCGATCCCCGACCAGGTGTCATAACGACTTGCGTGAGCCGCCGTCTGACAGTCCATCCATCTTGAGCCGACACTTCGTTTCGACACCTCTTCCTGTCGCTTCGATTTCCACCTCTGTCATTCTTTTACTTTTGCTTCTCCCGCAAGCTCTCGCACGACGTCCATACCATGGCTGCCAGACCCGCGCTCTTCACCCGTGGCCTCTCGGGACTCTCCCAGAGCACCACCGCCGACCCCAACTCGCCTAGCGTCAGCTCTCCGGCCGACCAGCGCGACGATGCAAAGCGCAACTTCCTAAAGGCCATGCGTCCTCTGCCGACACAACACTACTGGAACGTTTATTTTGACAAGTGAGTCCCTTCGCTGCCACGGCACAGTGTGCTGTCGGTTCATGGCACTCCCCGCAGCCTAAACCCTTGAAGCTCCAGTCGACTGATCCTCGATCCCCTCCTCCAGGCAGGCTAAGGACCAACAGAAGGCGGCCGGCGAGGAGGAATATAAGGTGCAGCTGGAGCAGCTCGGCTCGCAGATCGAGTCTGTCCAGGACTTTTGGAAATACAACAACAACACCCCCGTCGACCAGATCAAGATGCGCGAATCCATCTACCTTTTCAAGCAGGGCTTCAAACCCATCTGGGAGGACCGTCGCAACATCAACGGCGGTGCCTGGACCTTCCGCGTGCCCAAGGCCATCGGGCCCGACGTGTGGACCCGTGTGCAGCTGCTGGCCATTGGCGAGAAGTTGCAGAGCGTTCTGGACGACAGTAAGCCTGCCTGCCCGTTCGTCCCGCAAGTGATAACCGCTAACAAATCACCTCCCAGACGACCAGATTTGCGGCGTCGGCCTGTCAGTCCGCTTCAACTCGCACCTCATCTCCATCTGGCACCGTGACGGCTCCAAGCAAAAGTCCATTGATGCCATCCTCGAGTGCGTACTCGAAGAGCTCCCCGCCGAGCTGCGTCCCAAGGCCGACAACTACTTTTACAAGCGTCACCAGGACCACGCTGGCTTCAAGGCCCCCCCCGAGCTCCAGGCTGTCATCGATTCTCAAAAGGCCGCCGCCGAAAAGGCAAAGGCGGCGGAAGGTGCGACGGCTTAGAGGGCAGACTGCGACCCTCCTCCGCACTCTGCTCCCCCTTTAGGAGATCGGGGTCTCTGAGAAGCGAGCTAGGCTGTGAGATCATTTTCCACTTTTATTTCCCTTGTCTTCTTTTGCACAAAAGGAAACTGGTCGGATACGAGAGACACTCTCTCTCTTTGGCTTCACCTCGCCAACATACGGAAGTGTAATTTTTTTAGGGTTTTGTAAAGAAGAGGATATCCCCCTCCCCCCTCTCGTGCCAGGCCGTGACACGGTATACCAGGGGAAAGGCGGGTATATGCATATTTCAAGGGCGTTTTTATGAGCATGGAAATCCACGCAGGGGTGATGGGGTTCCCACGCCCACCGACGGCATGCGGGCTGCGCTGAGATCAGATAGAATCGTTATTACTAGTACCGCCTACCAATGACAGGTCTACAGTCCAACAGAGAGAGAGAAAGCCAGGTTGTACTGGCAATCAATACCAACCAGTAGATGAGTTTGTTGGCAGTAAAAAAGATCGATTCGGTTCCTATACCCACCAAAGAGACTTTGAAAGAAAAAGAAAAGGAAAAGCGACACCAGTTCCCCCTTCCGTGCTTTACCAAAACGCCAGGCTCCGTGGGTATAATGCCATACCAAACAGCAAAGCTTCCCCCCCCTAATCTCTCGCCAAACCCTCCCCCCTTGCTCTCCGTCACCGCCAAACCCCGGCGCGGCGCATGACCTCCTCGAACTCCTCCTTCTTCACACCCTTGCCCACGCCCGCGCCGCCGTTGGCCTCGAGGATCATGTCCCGCAGAACCTCTTCCTTGACGTCCTCCCTCAGCACGCTGACGACCCTCTTCAGGTCCGCGATCGTGATGACGTCCCGCGGGCCCGCGGCGGCGCCGCCGCCCGCGCCCGCCCCGGTGAACAGGGCAAAGGCCTCTTCGACCTCGCGCCGCCTCTCGTCCATGCTGCTCTGCTGGCCCCGCTGGTGGTACTTGAGCGCGCAGATGGCGAAGAAGGGCTCGAAGTCGACGAACCCCTCGCCGTCGGGGTCCAGGATCTCGACGAACTCGGCCTGCTCCTGGCGCGTCGCGGGCGGGATGCCGAGCGCGACGAGGCAGGACCGCACGTCCGCCGTGGGGATCACGCCCTCCTTCGCGCGGCCCCTCATCGGCTCGGCGAAGAGCGAGAAGGCCTCGCGGATCTCGCGCTCCTCCTGCGCCGAGATGTTGTGCTCCTTGGCGAGCTTCGAGGCGCGGGGGCGCGGCACGTCCGTGGCGGGCGGGCCTGTCGTCGGCGGTCTGCGCTTCGCGGGCTGGGCGGGCGGGGGGGAGGCCAGTTAGTTTGGGTCCAGATCTGGCCGGCCTATTGCGGTTTCGCGCAGGCAGGCAGACGTGTAAGAGGAAGAGAGAGAGAGAGGGGTGCTCACCATTGCGGATGATGCCGCTTGGATGTCGCTTGGTGTTTTTGATTTTGTTTTAGTTGCAGAAGCTGCTTGCGTGGCGGCGGAGGACTCGCGTGTGCCGTCTTGTCTTCTAGTGATGGTTGTGGTCGGGGCGGTCGATGGTCGATGACGACCGTTGGAGGTCAAGGAAACGCAAGGGACGCGTTAATGGATTGTGACGGAACCGGCTGCAGCGGCGGCGGCGGCGGCGGTGGGGGGGGGGGGGGGGGGGGGTGGGTATACCCGATGGACAGTGCAGAGCGCCTCGTGCGGATGCGATTCACACATGGCACTGAGCCCCGCCGGTGAAAATCCTCACCGGTATAAATTCGCGGTTGCAAAATTTCTCCCGCTAATCCGCAACACCTCACTCCCACCAACTCACCACCGCCACCAACGTCTTCTCGCGCTGCCAGCAAACCCCAGGATGCCGTCTCCGATGCCCACGCCGTCAGGTGGCTTCCCGATTGCAGGAGCCACTCGGGCCGACCGCGCCCCGGCATGAACTGCTGGAGGTGTTTCCAGTTCGGACCTCGTTGAGATCGGGCTCTCTATCCTCTCGGCTTCCCGGTGCTTCCACAAGCCGCGCGCGTCTTCGTCGTGAATGTCGGCTTCGGATATCTGGACAGGTCGCACTTCTGCGCCGATTCCCGACCCTCTGTCTCCCAAATCCATGCGAGAAGGGCGCCGCAGCTGTCAAGCTAACGGCTCATACAGAGCCCTACGCGGTGATGTCTCATCTTTGAGACGGGATGTCCACGCCGGTCCGAAGGCAAGAGCTTTCCCCTTCCCAGTGGGCCGGGAAACTCGAACCAAATCTCCAGACAGACGGAGGTGGCGGAGAGAAGAGCAAAGGAGAAAAGGGAAAACATCAGCTTCTAAAAAATGCTAGAGCTTGCCGCTTTAAACCCAGAGCGAGCACGTGTGGACAGTGAAGCAAGATCAAACAAACGGGGGCCTCCGCAGGACGGACGTCTCTTCCCAGGGCTGCACTCTTGCCTCGTCGACCCCGGTCGATGGGGCGCTTAGGGCCTCTTGGGAGACATATCGTGAACCATTGCCTAGAATAAAGAAAGATGTGATGCTTCTGCGCTGTTCTCTTGTGGTGTTCCAAGTTACACAGTCTGGCAACCCCCTACCGCTTGCTGCCGTCCCCTCTTCCACCCGGGATGCATGACGGATTATGCTCAAAGTCATTTCCGTGCCGCTGCCGTCGCCGCCTCTTGCATATCCTCGGCTGCCCCCTCTCCCGACCCCGCAACGCCACCCCCCCCCCCCCCAAGACGCATCAAATCTTCGACTCGGAAGGTGGACTGTGTTGTCAGCTGAGACCCCAACCGATCTGGCATCGGGCTCGTTGGCAACTGCAACTGCCGCAAGATAGCCGATGGCAAGGAGACGTATACCACTTACTCACTTGAAGTTGTTCTTCATCTCGCGCAGCTTAGCCATGACGGCGACGGGCTCGTTCTCCCCCGTTACCTTTTGGATCTCGGGGTCCTGTGCATGCGTCAGCCTCTCCTTCTGCCCTTGCCCCCACGGAGACTGCAACGCAACTCACCTCAACGCGCATAAAGACGTTGTGTTTCTGTCGACATCATGTCAGCCGTCTTCTGACTCAAGCCGTGCGAGCCCAAAGCCCAAGGCGATCAAGACCTACCTTCTCGTCGCCAATCGTGAACTTGCCCTGCGTCTCCTTGTTGTTCTCCGCAAAGGCCTGCAGCTTCTGGATCGCCTCGTTCTGAAGCACTGACGCAGCGAACTTAACGTTGGACTTTGTGTACTCATGGCCGGGCTGTCTCTGGTCAGCAACCTGACCCCTCGGTGTGGGATGACCGTCGGCAAAAGACTCACAAACACGACCGTGTCGTCTGGCAGCGAGGCCAGTGTCTTGTTCAGCGCATTGTGCATCTCCTCGGCGTTACCCTCGAAGAACTTGCCGCAACCTGCGATGCCCAGCCAGTCAGCAACCCAGTCTCTCTAGCCAGTTCTTTCGCCCCCCGTCCGCGTGCGTCTCGTCCGACACGACGCAGCGCGGCCGGCAGCCGGAAGAGATGATGGACCCACCGCTGATGAAGAGTGTGTCGCCCGTGAACACGACCTTCTGCTCCCCGTCCTCCATAAACCAGCAGATGCTGTCCTGCGTGTGGCACGGCGTGTGAAGCGCCTTGACGGCGATGCTGCCAATGTTGAACGACTCGCCGTGGCCTGGCGTCCTGGTCACGCCGTCGCAATTTTTGCCGCCGATGATGGGCAGGCTCTCCAGGCTGAGGTCGCCTAGCTGTGTCTGGTCAGCACACACTGTGGTGAGCGGTGCCGGCGATCGGCGACTTACGAGCTGCTTGTTCCCGCCTGCGTGGTCCCAGTGGCTGCCGACGTGTCAGATGCGTCCGCGTCACCGGGGGCAGAACGTGGGTCAGGGACTCACTGGTGCGTGTTGACGATGGCCGTGAGGTTGATATCGCCGCCCTTGATGGCCTTCTGCAGCACCGGGGTCACCCTGAACGGTATCCGTCAGTGTGGAAACCCTCACTCCAGTTCGGAACCGGCAACACTCACTCGGGCGGGTTGGCCGGGTCAATGATGACGGCGTCGTTGGTCTTGTCGTCCTTGACCAGGTAGGCGTAGTTGTTGCTACTGCCCACCCCTACAAGCCCCTCGAATCAGCATGTGGCTCTCGCACAGCTGCACAGCTGCCCCTGAGGGCCATGAAAGAGACCGACTTACACATCGGAATAGACTGGATATGCATGGCGTTGGTGAACGTGAGCTGTCCATGATGTAAGCTAGCCGCTCGCCCATCACGCACCCCCACATTTGAGGGCGTCGACTTTGTGCAAGGAGCACTCACTGCGGCGGTTACGGTACCGAATCTGTGTCTTAGAAAAGGCCTCCTTGCGATGAGGGTATTCATGAAAGGCAATTGCACGGTAAATGTGTAGTGTTGGACGATATGAGCGGCAGAGTTTAGTGACGTTGTTATACTGTAAATCCGCGGGCCCACCTCTTCCCTCGTTTGGGTAAGCTACCCCCCATCCGCTTTGTATCTCCATACCCCACCCCACGTGACTGCAATGGTCATGGCAGTGGCCTCGCCCCAACGTCAGTTCCAGAAGCAACATGCATGTCAGGAGCCTGCTGCACTAGTGTTGAATAATCACGTAGTATGTCGCATTTGGGCCTACCCGGATGCCTCACGCGACGCCAATCGGCCGCGGCTTCCAAGTGCCCTCAAACTTCGCCCATCCCGTGCCACCGCTCTCCTGGGCCTCATCGATTTCGAGGTCGTCCGCAGAGTCCTCCGCGACGTGTTGCGTCTCCGCCGCGAGAGCTTCCTTCGCTTGTGCTATCTTCTTCTTGATTTCATCCACCTTCCTACCCCTGTCCCTCTCATACTCTGGCCCCGCACCCTCAATGCCCTTCCCTTTCAGCAGGATCCCCTTTGATAACCGCAGCGCAGCAAGCTTGACGGCGTTGCTTGGCGGAGCCTCCGCGACCTTGTCCAGCGTAGCGAGCAGCCGGGACTCATCAAGCCCGTCGATCCACTTCTTCATCTCGGCGCGTCGTGCCTCGTCCCGCTCCTCGAGGAACGCGACCACGACCGCACGGCCCGCGGCAGCCGTAGCGACGCCGACCTTCCTCTCAGGAACCACGTCCTTGACGCTCTCCTCCTCGTCAGGCCCCAGGTGTTGCCAGTAGTACTCCCAGATCCAGACCAGTGCCTTGCGGGCGGCGGATCGCAGCTTCGCGAGCGACGGCAACGTCTCGTGCGTCGCCTGGTGTCGCAGCTCAACGAACGTCGCCGGTAGACCAATGGTCTTGGCAACCGAGTACATGCTCAGCTTCCGCTGCTTGTCCTGGTGTCCATCCAGGAGCCCGGTCACGAACCTAATCGAAAAGAATGTGTGAGCAATCACGGATCAATGGCATAATCAGCCAGCAGCTTGCGAAGCATCCAAGGGGCAAGGCAGCCCGAGCAAAAAAGAGAGCCGCAAGGAGCTCGGGCTCAGACACGAGTCGGCCCTTTGGTCGGTGCCGCCAAAGAGGGGGGGCAGGAGGCTTCGTAGATCTCGACTAAGACGACGGGCGGGCTATGGGAGTTTACATGTCTCGAGGAAAGAACCCAAACCTCCCCGATGCTAGGAACCTCTATCGGACCACTGGCCAAAGTGCACACTTGCGCGACGGGAACAAAGTGAGACGGGAACAAAGTGAGACGAGAAGCGAACTAAGACGGGAGTTTGCGGGGAGAATAGGGGTGTGCTGGTTAAGCAGGTCGTCAGGGCACTTCGGGCGACTGTGCCCTTCATCAGACGGGCCGCGTGAGTTGCTCTGGGTCCGGGCCCGGGGGTCGGGAGAGGAGTGCTTCAACACCTAATATCCAAAAGAAGGCAGGGCGTGAGACACTGGGAGGAGGGGGGGGAGGGTGAGTGTGCATGGGGTGGTAACGATATGAAAGGCAAAAGAGAGGTGAGATGTGAGAAGCTGCGAAGGTCTAGAAACGAGAGTGCAGAGGGAAGAAGGGCGCCCGATCCCCAGAAGACTGGATTGTTTCATAGACCAGAGGGGAGGTCCAAGGTCAAGGAGGCTTGGAAGGGGCAGTGTGGAAGACGCCCGGGTAGGCTTTCACGCACTCGTAGCCAACGGCCTCTGGCCACCTGGATTGAAGAGGGACGGAGACAACGACAACGGAACGTACCGGCTGAAGGCGGCGGCGTAGGCGGCGCGAACAGCGTAGGTGCCAGCGCTGCCCTTGCTCTCCCCGTCGCTCAGGATGGCGGCCGTCAACAGAGCCGTCGATTCGACCATGTGCGGGCAGTTGCCGCGCTGCATCCACATCGACACCCTGGCGACGGCATGGTGCTGGGCTGCCAGGAGCCCGTCATTGTCGACGCTAGAATAGCTGCTGCCGCTGATGGCGCTTGTCGTGCCCGTCCTGTGCTGGTGGTGCTGTGAGGGCGGTGCTCCTGTAGCTGAACTCGGAGCCGGCGCTGGCGCTCCTCGTGTTGATGGTGCTGTCGGTAAGGCGAGGGCGGATGCGGGTGCGAGCGCTGTTGCTGTTGCTGTTGCTGCTGGTGGTGGTGCTGCTGAAAACGCAGGGGCCATAGACAGCGGGGCCGCGGGATAGAATTGCTGGCGAACCTTGAGCAGCTCGCGGCGATCACGCCATGGCGTCAGTATGTACTGGACCATTCTGATGCGCGAACGAGTGCAAGTGTGTGATTAGGCGTCTGGCCTCCTCCTGCGCCGAGTTCACCCTTTCCAGAGATACGACACCCTAATCCGGGCTGGCCCTCACGAATGCGATTCGTACCGGCGGTGGCAGGGAGGGGCTAGGCCTCGGAGGAACGATGTTTCACAGCACTCCCAAAGGCTGATGGATCCTGCCGGTGGCTCGTCTTCTTGGCGCGACGGCTTGGGGAGGCCGATAGTTGCCCAGACGGATCTCGGAATGATTTCTTTCTTCTTTCTTCGAGTCTTTGCTGACTGAGTCGCAAGTCTGAGTGATCCAAGGGGGTGTGGCCCAAGAAAAAAAGCCAAAAGTGTCTCCCTAGAAGTGTAGAGTAGGGGGGGGGGGGAATGGGGGGAAAGTTTAGAGACCACAAAAAATTCCCCCGATTAGTATCGTGCGTAGCGTGCAGTGAACTGAGATCGGATACACTACCAACAGGACCCCAACTCACATCAGCCAAACTTCTGGGACAACCAGCGCCACGCACATAGCACGCACATAGAATACGCACACCGGCAGAAACACAATCCAGGGGCAACCCATTCCAGGCGGCGCTCGCACGGCTGTCTAGATAGGCTAGCCCGGCCGGTCATTGGACATCAGACGAGTCGTACTTTCAGGTTGAGTATGCCTCCAGCCTTGGACGTTACTGCCCCCCGATGCTGAGCTGCGAGCCTGAGAAGCGTATTATGGCGTGTCAAGCCGAATTTGTCACCAGTCACTCAGCGATGACCACATGCTTCAGCTAGGATGGATTCACCTTTGATCTTCACAAGCCAAATCGTCTGAACGTTTCCGCCCACCAGCACACGGCCGTTGGCCGACCGCTGTATGAGCTGATGCAATGTTCGAGTTCGCGTATGAGATGAATCAAGACCAACGACGAAGTATCGTGACATGTCAGTGCTTCTCCTTCCCCATGTTCCCGTTTAAAGTCCGAACCATGAACAGTTTTCTATCGTGTCCTCACCAAGATGCCGGCATGCTTTACTTTGGTTTCGCAACAGCAGATACCCGGTAGCTGGGCATCCGGCCCGATGACGACTCTCTCCTTAGACAAGGGTCTTCACAATATGGAAGACACCGTGCCGGTCATGAGTCCTAGTATGCTGGGGTCATGGGTCTTGGACTTCGTGGGTGCGAGGCCGTCCTTCTTCTCCATGTGGAGTGCTGGAGCAGTGGACTCAACAGCACCTGTTGGGAGGTGTCCTTGAGGCAGCCTGTGTAGACGAACACCCTAATGAGTTGTAGAAGCCCCCTAGTAGAGGAGCCGGACGCCAAGGGACGACCATAAGAACTCATAGACGAGTGAGTTATTGGGGGAACCCATGGGATACCGCCGCAGTGCGAAGATCTTGCCCACCCTCACATTGGACTTCCTCGACGGCAGTGGCAGTGTAAAGGATGTTGGCAGCGACCAAGCTGGTCTCGTTCATGACGGCGAGACTCGACTGGCGGTAACGTGGTGCATATGGCTGTGGGAAGGGGTTAGGTTGATGACCAAGGTGTGTTCGACCACCTTGGCGTCGAGGGCCCTGCCGTCGGCGACATTGAGCGAGATGGGCGTAGCGTGCTTGACGTCCTCGGACAGCTACGGATACTCATCGGACTGAGAGGGCTCGCTCTGCAGACTGGGAGGCAGGCGTTCATGCCGACACCTCCAAAAATCGTCGGCTGGGTCACACTGATTGGTTGGCGAGGGATGACCTCGGCTACCAATTCTGGATGGTTCGAGAGAGCCAGGTGTCATGGATTCTATCTAGTGTAGTTGATCGTGATTGTATATCGTCGTGTGGCCATACCTAGACCCGGTCAGTGTCGACGCTGGCACGGCGAGGCCCAAACTGAGGCCCCGATCCTCTTCCAAACGTCGCAATTCGCGATTCGTGACCGATGACGACGATGCCGCGTGCGAGTGAACCTTCTTCTGGTTCAAAGTATCCAGGATGGGGTTAAGCTGCACAGCTCGCTCGCTCCATCTGACAACGGTCCATCTCAGTGCTGCAGCGCAGCCGACTAAAGGTTCCCCGCTTTAATGCTGCCTTTCACTGTGGGCGACACGGCAGAAGGGTGGAGGTATACAGTACGACACACAGTAATCGGGGGCTGCCCGAGTCTGCCAGTGAGGTCACCAGAGCAGCGGCCAAAGACTTTTTCTAGGGGCTACGGGCGGGGTGTTTCGAGACCTGGCAGGGCTGGCCAGAACGGCGGGGGTGGATAGGTTTTAACATGCGTGATTGGCTCAGTGGCGGAATGTGACAGGGAAACACTGACCCATATGCAGCTCATGCCATGCCTCGACAGGGGTCGTGCGCGGGAGCCTCTTTCTCGCTTATTTTAGTGTCCGTGTTGACGATTGAACTTCGATCCGGCGCCGTCCTCTGATGCAGGTGGAATCGGTTGCGGCTGACAGCTGGCGGTGGGTTGGGCCCCTCTCTTGTCAAGAGGTCAAGATGGACAGGGACTGCACACGGTAGGCAAGTTGGAAGCGTTCTTTGATCTTCATGTTTTGTGCTAGGCACACTTTGTGATTATTTCTATCTCAGACAGTACTTAGACTGCTTCTTCTGGAGGCTCATGGGCCACTTGGTCGGAATGCATGCTTCCTCTCCATCTGGGTATATGCCTCTTTTGGGTTGCATCCACCACTCCTGGGCGGACCATGACGAGATTCTTTTACCCCGTCCCTAGAGGCACCGCACATCCTTTGATGTTACATCCTCCAATCGTACATAGTATACATAGTTTCTTCGTAAAATCATGATTGCTTGCGCACGTCTTGTACCGTTCAAGGCACTCTTTCATGTTTGTGTCATTAATCAGAATCCTCGCCGTCAGCATCGTCCTGGTCGGCGTCCTCATCATCGCTGTCAGGGGGCTGCCATGACTCCTCCAACTTCAGGCCCTTGCCGGTACCCTCCTGGGGACGGTATGACGCGCCGAGCAGAGAAGACATGGCGGACCTGGAGGCGTCGAGCTGAGGGTCTTGGTCGTACTTGTCTGGCGCGTCGTAGAGGCCCATGCCGACCAGGATCTCGCCCTCCTCTTCAGGCTCGTCCAGAGGCTGGTAAGGGATGGTGTCCTCGTTTGGGACAATGGGTTGAGGCTGCTGAGCCTGCGGCAGCGTCTCGGGAGTGGGAGGAGAAGTGCTGGGAAAGCCGTCCATCGGGTACGAGTGCCAATGCGTGGAAGTGGAAGACGGCGTGAGGTCAGGCAGGGTAGTGGGGAGAGCCGGGAAGGGCTCTGCGTATCCAGCAGCCTCCGACGAGACATATGCCGGAGGGTCTTGCTGGGGAACGTTCCAGCCCTCCACGGGCAGATACGCAGCAGAGTTGTCGTAGGTGCCAAAGGGCAGAGAGAGGGGAGAGAACGAGGCAACAGGTGATGTGTTGCACGAGTAAGCCGCCGGGGTGGGGGGGAATTGCGAATAAAAGTTGTAGCTGTCAGTGTCGTAGGCCGACGCGGCGGGAGGGAACGGGTAAGAAGCCATGTGCTGGGCAGCGGGCATCTTGTGTTGTTGGTGTTGGTAGGTGGAAGGGTGCCAGCTGAGAGGTCGGCTAGGTCGAGACTGAGAGCCATACTCGGGCATGGTGACTTGATCCATGGGCTGCTGTCTCCGCCTCGCCAAATTCCCGTCGTTCACCACAGTCCTTCTCCTGGCCTGTATTGCTGATGACGACCTCGGACTGTTGTTGGCGCTGGTGGGCTTTGCTACACGCATAGCGTTTCCGTTCCGTTGGCCGTTGGAGCCCCTGGATAACCTCCGAGATGCCTGAGAGATGGCCATCTGTCTTGACAGGTCATCGAATAAGGCATCTGTTTGGTAGGCGGTCGGAATATGTCCCGGGAGAACACCTCCCATGAGTGTGGGCATCATCTTGGTGATGTGGTGGAGAGGGTCGCGTTGTTTGATGTGATGAATGTGGGTGAGTGGGTGAGCGTATAATGGTAAAGCTGTTGCTCAAGAGGTGTGTGTTGTCGACGACTTGGACTGAGCAAGACGAGACGCGGCGGATGGTGATGATGATATAAAAAAGGTCGGGGAGGATGGGCTCGGCCCGGACTATGTACAGGAGGAAAAGAGGACGTTGCTCGAAAGGGCTCTCCTGCGTAAAGGGAGCGCAACTAGGGAAAGGACATGGGTGATACTAGATCGGTCTTGAAGGATAAAATCAAACCTTAGCTCCAGCCGGAGGAACAAACGCTCAACCATGGGTACGGAGTGGGCCAAGGGAAAAAAAAGACAACAAGTGCTCGAGAGACTACGGACGGTTTGGCATGTGTGCACGAAGAGGCAGCAAGCGTGGGTTGCGTTCATGGGGTGGATGTGAAGCTGATGGGAGGAGGTACCCATCCGCTCAGTGAGTGCAGATGTCCCCAGGCGTGGCTGGGCAGGAGCGGTACGTACCGGTTCCTGTTCCTTTTTGCAAGGGTGTCTGGGAGTAGAAGGAGGGGGGGCGGCAGCAGCCAGCAGGCTGCGTCATATGGGTTGAGCAGGGATCTCGCAATTGGAGCGTTGTGCATTTCAGAGCCGAAGCAGACGAGGCGGCTGCTGCCCTTGGTCCCTGCACGTACGTACCGTAGGCAAGTACCTACCTGTTCTACGGCCGGGGGGCGAGGGGGAGGAGGGCATGGAAGCACAGAAGGGGGAGGGGCAGAAGGGACAGACGGGAAAAAGCATGGGACGGACTTGTCGATAGTGCTGGTGCGCGCGCGTGTGTGAGCGAAGCCGCAGTGGGTAGTGAGTGTGTGGTGTGTGGGTATGGGTGTGGGCGTGGACGTGGATGTGGACGGTTGATTGCCTTGCTTCGCTTTGCGCTGGTCTCTGGTACGCTACCTACTGCGGTACGGGGTGGAGGAAGGCAATTGACAGGCAAGATTGGGATTAGGGAGGAATAGTCGAAGATGGAAGGAGTGGACGGACTGTGGAGCAGACCAGGTTGCACTGCCAATCCGACACCGTCGCCCTTGCGCGGAGATGGGGTTTGGTGGTGCCCCCCTTCCCATTGTACGAATACAACGTATAGTACTTACTATGGCCCGGTAGGTAGGTGTCGTCGGAGGTGTACGCGCTCATGTACGTACCGAAGATGGTGGGTTCCCTGTCGTAAACTGGTAACTACCTACGAAACTGGACTGCACCTACGGTGCCATGGCGGGATCCAAGACTCAGGTGTCGAGAAAGGCAAATGCCTGCAGAAAGTGGGTACGTACCGCTCGGGCAGAGCAGGCAGGACAAGACGAGCCGTGGGCGGGGGGCCGACAAGACAGGCGGGCAGCGGGCGGTCAAGAGGGCAAGGAAAGGGGGGGGAAAAAAACATGGATGGAATGCCTTTGGTCCAAAAAGAACCGCTTGGCCCAGGCGCTCACGCCGCCGGGTCGGAGTCTGGAGATGGCACCCCCTGTTCGTGTCTCGGGCAACCTGCCCCAGCAGCCAGCAACTACCTAAGGCACTTACTTGTCCAAGGCCAGCACCACACGCCACGACCAGCGGCCAGCCCAGGGACCCAGTGGTGAAGAAGGGGTCCAAGGGGAACGACATGCCTCAGCGGGGTGGCCCAGGGGGTGGTTTTATTGCATTGAGCCGACAAGGCCCCCGTCATCGTCCAACCAGTTGTGGCCCGCCATCGAGGATCATGGTCCCCGCTCCCCAGCAAGCTTACCTAGTTTGAACTGATGGGTCAGACGAGATGGAGGTGTTGTAATATCACGCAGTGCCTGTAGTTTAGCTCACCGGGGATCGAGGAGACCAGGAGGGACACCCGCTCTTTGGGACCACGGATCCATGTCCGCCATCCCTCCTAGCCCGTTGCCATCTTCTGTGGCCCCACATACGCCCTGCCACTCACTGCAATGTGTGTAGCGCAGATGGAGATGTGAATCTTGCCTTGCATGTTTTGGTGGTTTCCCCCAAAGTGCCATCCACCTAGCGGCTTGTTCATGACAATCCTGTTACCGAGTGATGGCCGGCTTTAACTGTGGGATGAGGCGGATACGCATCCAATTCCGAGACGGACGACCCGCAGGGTCTTGGGGACGAGACAACATCCCTTTGTGCTTCCATGAGCCCCCACTCGTGGCCAGTACGGAGTCATGGCTTGAAAACCCCCCCCCCCCCCCCCAAAAAAAAAAGCCGGGAAAGACTTATGGTCGTACGGACACCTGGAACCTTCGTCTGGCTGGAACGAGAAAAAGGAAGGGGAAAAGGACAGAGAGAGAGAGAGAGAGAGAGGTATTCAGCACAGACACTGGAACCTAGACAGCTCGCGATCTCCATCAGGGTCTGTAGTAATACGCGGTATGGTACTAAAAGCACGAAGGAACTTCGAGAAAACCACGGAGGTGGTTCCGCTCAAGGAAAGCCCCTGGTGCTACACTACAGGACATGCCGTTCAGGTTGTCCAAAACCGTGGGTACGATGCACAGGCTAGATGGCGGCCGGGCATACCTACGTACAATGTACATAGGTAGGTTGCGGGTACGTACTTGTAGGAAAGCCCGCTTCAAAGTGGGCATCGTCGCAAGACGCGCAAAAGACCGAATCATATGTTCGCTGTTGCTCTGATCGGTCCGTCGGCCGCAGGTCTGTCTGGTGCTCACCAGACGAGAAAAGCTGCGTCCCCGGTCAGTACGTATGCGAGATGTGTCTGGGTGTGCCCTGCCGCCTGCGTACCTGCCCATACTCGACAATGTTGAGCAGCAGCTCAAGGTACGAAACGGAACGTTGATTGTTTGCAACCATCCTGGGAGGAAGACAAACGGGGCGTGCGCCAAGACGGTGTGAGAATATCGAATTGAATCGAATGACAAGCCGCTTTCCAAAAGGATGGTAGGTGGGACGGATGGGACCGGATCACAGATCTCGCTCAACCGACAGTGTTGGTTTGCATTATTGCCCACACACCCCTGGCCCGAAGGGGATGGCTTCCAACGGCAGCAGCAAGAGGGTTGGACGTGCACACGCGAGTTGCAGCCCAGGCTGTGGGTGGTGTGGGTAGGGGGTAGCATGTTGTTTTCTTGTCACTTGAAGCGGTTCCGTGTGATGTAGGGGTGTGGGCGTCAATGACTGACGAAGGATGCGGGCAAGATCTTGGATGGAACGGGCCAAGGTCCAGGGCCAAGTGCCAGAGTTTCCACAAGCTCCCTCATCGTGAGGAGGTAAGCACGTTGCGACTACCTTGTACCAATGGCTGGAGGTGAACGGTGGGTTGTCGGCTCATTCGCCATCGTCAGATGGAAGGTATCCCTCATGATAGTTTAGCAGGGCAGGTACAGCAGTAGTGTTGAGGTCATACCTGCTTGAGTTCTGTGTGGTGTGCAAGCCGGGTCTGACGAGAGCCATAAACCCAGCCGGAGGCGGTGGATGCACGCGTCCTCCTAGACAGGAATGGAGTGGCAGGCGTGGTCTGCGGCCCAGTAGGCGGTGGACAGTTGACGATGATGCCGTGATGGTATCTGGATACGCAGGCTTTGACCACCCACTCGTCCCCTGGCTGGTGGCGCCCGGCCGACATTGTATCCAGGGCGTGGCCACGCAGGCATACACTCAAGTCGCAGATGCGAGTGTCATCCGCATCGAAGGTTCCAGCCAGTCTTGTGTCGAGGAGCGTAGTAGTAGGCTGTTTTCCGTCCTCCACAGTCGACTTCCATCCTTGGTCGAACCCAGATGAATGGGGCAGAGAGGCGCGGTGGTAGACAAGGGCGGGCACTGCAGGGCGGTCAGGAAATAGACGTGTTGGCGGCGTTTGGGCAGATTGCAGCAAATTGAAATGTGGGATGGCGAAGCCTCCGCTATGGACCATGGACCATGGATGTGGATGGCAGGAGGGACTGTTGTTAGTGATGCTCCCGCAAATGGCCGCGGATGGGCTGAGCGACAAAGACAAATGAAAGCCGTCGGTAAAAAGATGTATTGAGTGGATGGGCCTGCCTGGTTGAGAAGTACATGTACTGGGTACCAGAGTTTTCGTGTGGCACACGAGTTAATGAGAAGTATCCTGGTACGGATACAGCACATGTATCTCTGTCTGGTCATTTCTCGGGTTTTTGGCACACTTGGCTGGCTCCGAGATTCCAGTGTCAAAAACTACCCAGAAGCAAGAGTCAGCTGCTACCCAGAGTTTGATCAGATGCCGCGTCTCCCAAATCCACTCGCGGCCCACGTAAATATAAAAGTACCAAAGCACGTACGTGTGAGAGAATAAAACCCACAGTATGGCGAGAACGGACGGGAAACCCCGACAAGACAATCTACCTACCTAGGGCCATTAAAGGCTAGAGAGAGAGAGAGAGAGAACGGTAGAGGGATGACAGGACAGGGCGAAAGAGGAACGCAGGCAGGCAGTGGGGAAACAAGTCTACGGTACCTAGCCTCACCCGTTATCTCCCACCAAGCGACGTGTGTGAGGAACTCGGGAGCAACATCCATGATGTTTAGGCCTCGGGAATATGCAATCTGCGAGCAGACAAGTCCGCTCCACAACAATAATAGCATCGGCCAAGGACGGCAGGGCCCCCCACCCACTGGGGAGAGCAGTTGGAATTGGGAACAACACCCGGAGACGGACAGGGAGAGAAACATCCTAGGACAAGGCTCCGGGACGCTGAGTAGAAGCAGGAGCTGTGTGCACTACTACGGAGGGAGGACGGGTCCTGGGCTCCTAGACCCAGACAGACAAGGGGCTAGTCAGTCAAGTTGGAGACTGCAAATTCTATGCTACCTGACTTGCCATGATTGCCTAGCGTCTCCATAAGTATACTAGTTCCGCAGAGTCAAAGCACAGTGGGCGGCACTTCGCAAACCCGTAATCAATCCCCATCCGAGTATCAAAGTTGCGCTGGTTCAGGAAGCGCCGGTGACGGCTTGAAGGCCCCCCT